CTATTTTTTTCTTTTTTTTTAAGTTATCTTTTACTATGTAGGTAGGAGGAAAAAAAACATTGAGCAATTCAACATGTCTTCTTTGTATTATTAAATGTGTTAACATTATTTATTGTTTTATTTATTTTTTATTTATTTTTACTTTATTTATTTAGGCACACAACACATGCACCAAAAATTATCAATAGCGAATATATCACTGTCCTACTTGTAGGTGACAATTCCTTGCACAAGACAAACATACACATCTCATGCTTTACACAAACTGAATCTCAATATGAAGTTTAGGGAGTGGAGTTGTGTTTTGGTTGTGAGAAAAAAATCCTGCAACACTGACAGGAATTGAACCCAGGACCCTAGGATTGGAAGGCAAGCATCTTAACCACCAAGAAATTCAACTCTACTTTACTTGACTTCACATTGGCAAATATACAATAACAATAAGATAAAAAAAAATGTTTATATTACTATTCGAGGTAAAATCTTTAAAAGTAAACAGATATTAATTGCTCATTTTGAAAGAATGATATTACGTAAACTCAGTGATTTACAAAGTTTTTAAATTGAAAATTCTGAAGCTAAATACAGCAAATTTTAGATTCAATAATCAAAAATATTTTTTTTTTAAATTCGAAAACATCAATATTTACGGGCGGCAGGTTTGCTAAACAAAGGTATAAAAAAGTTCTGGCCTTATCTGAGATTAATCAGTGGATATTTCGGTAAATATAGGAACAGTGTCATGCATCTCTTTGGTAAGGAAATATTTTCTATTGTCAATTAATTCTAATAACTTATACAATGTAAGCAATAAAATTGAAATTAACTTGTCAATGTATTGTCTGAACATAGATTATTTTCTAATCACCAGGTATCGATTACTAGTTGTAGTTAATGATGACACAATTAACAGGCAGGAAATGCGTGTACAGTATTGAACATTAATAAGATTTGGTTCTACAACATTTCACCACTCACTTGCTTCCTTGGGTGAGTGACATCTGATTCCACCACTCACTTGCTTCCTTGGGTGAGTGAAATCTGATTCCACCAGCTCACATGCTTCCTCGGGTGATTGACATCTGATTCCACCAGCTTTCAAGTCATCATTACCGGAACTTCCTCATGTGAAAGACATTTGTTTCCATGAGCTTCATCACCAAATGGTTTCTTTGGTGACAGGCATCAATTCCACAACCTTTCGACAATACCTGGTTTCCTCAAGTGACAGATTTGATTCCATAGGCTTTCATCACTTCCTGGATTCTTGAAGTGATAAACATCAATTCCACAACCTCTCAACACTACACTGCTTTCCTGAAGTGATACACACCTGATTCCAATGTTTTCATTCATACCTTTTCAGGTGATAAACATAGATTCCACAACCTTCCTACACTACCTGGTTTCTTAAGTGATAGATAGAGTAGGATTCATATCAGCTTCCAACTTGCTTATTCCATGGTCAAGTGATATGTACTTGTTGATTCCATCGTTTTCACCACTTCTACCTCCTTTCTTAAGTAAATAATGTTAAATTCCATCAGCTTTCACTACCACTACCTGGTTTCCTTCAGTGATTGATGATTGATTCCATCAGCTTTTATCTTTAACTAGCTTTATCATGTGATTGACATTTTTTAGAAGCTTTCCTCACTAAATGGCTTTTTAATGTGATTGAGAATGGATCCTATCAACGATCATCACTACCGTGGCTTCTTCATGTGATTGAGAATGGATCCCATCAGCTATCATCACTGACTTCTCATCTGACAGACATTGATTCCATCACTCTCCATCACTAATTAGCTCTGATGGACATATTTTATTACGCAAGCCTTCACCACTAGTGTGGTTGCATCATTAAGGTGATTATGTCACATCTCACCTGAAGACACATCCTTGTAGTGAAAAAATATGTAATTAATTACAAGTCATTAGTTTTTGTCCCTCTCTGATACCAGTTTCTAGAAACTGAATTTAATAATCAAACCAGTCCTATGCATCAGAGATCAATAAAATTTCTAATATACCTACCATGTCGTGTGACTGTAACAGTTGAGCCTGTTTATGCCAAGTTCTGAGACACCCCTACCCCCTAGAAATAAAAGCAGCGCAGATCTAGAGGTGACCAGCTAACAGTGAATCGTAACCACTGAGCTTGTTGTATTGGTTAATTTTACTAAAAAACCTCAAAAAGTCAACAGACAACTTAATTTTTATTTAAATGATCAAACAGTTTATTAACTTCCAATGAAAACCATGTTATATTAAAATATTTCAGCTTTTACTTTTTTTTTAAATGTTTTATAGTAAACTACAAAAATTCTTAAACTGATTACCACCGGCCAACTTGATGGTTACGATCAAGCGATCGTATCCATCAAGGACTTTCGAAAAAAACCACCAAACAGCGAGTGTTTATACCCTAATTATTTATGCCCATATTGGGTATTGAAAATAATTCAATTGACACTAAAGAAAACATGCAACGTCGAGAAGGGGAAGTATGAGGTGGTTTCTTGTGTATGCGAGCACTGTCTACTACCGGTACTTAATTGGACAGTAGGCCTACTTTCTAATGTCTTAATTAGTGAAGGTATCAATCAAGTTATTGACAACATTTTTATGTACCACCCCTAATTACTATTAATTGCAAGGTATTTATATACGTATGTTGGCCCTGTGCAGCGGTCACAAAGAGCCAAGAAAACCGCTTTCTAATTGGTTCAACAAAACAGATAATTTTCCTACGATAACTGCTATTTACAGACACACGATTGGAAATTGAAAATTTTTTTTTAGATGTACAGTATGTGCATGTAGGTATGTATTAATATACACTTTAAACAGATTTACCATGTAGGTGTATGTTTTTCATATCTATGCTCAGGCGAGACTTTTTTTATACCTTGTTTAGTGAACCCGCCGACTGCAATATTGATGATTTCGAATAAAAATAAAATTTTATTTTGGCTAATTAATTAATGACTTGCCGCCATGAAAAACTGGAAATTTCAGAAAAAAATAGAAGTATTTTAAAATCTTTATTACAGTTCACCCTCACTGCCTTGAAATCTCCAAAGATATGTACATTTCTTCCTAATTATATAAATTTGAAGCATTTAGCGATTCTATTTTACATTGACCAATAAAATTTTATTTTTATTTTCTTCTCCATCTGGATGATTTTGGCAAAACTATTTGCTAAATGAGAAAACATAATTTTATTTTTATTTTTATTCCAAACACCTGGCGGTCAGAGTGTTAAACTTGTGATCGCGATTTTGAGTCACATGCTTACCACTTTCAGACGGCCATGCTTACATACCCCAACTTACATTGTTGACAGGCTGTAAAAGTAGCTCACACTATGTTTCAGCCCTGTGCAAAAATGATCCATCAAATGCTGCAACCACTGACTGGCCCATTGGGATGTACAGTTACTAGGGCTATGTTGCTGATATTTGTGCTTTACGAACTATGTGGCTATTGTTTGCCATTTTTTTTTTTTTACTTTTTATTTCATTTACTTTGAGAACGCAACAATTATTGTTGAGTGCCACCGTTTCGAAGGTGTATGTTCAAATAAATAAAATAAAAACTACAAACAAAAGTTGATAAAGCAACTTCTTAATCAGTCATACCAACAATAGGTTTCTCTTTAACATAATAAAAAACTTAACAAAGTAACACTTTTAAAATAAAGAAAAACATAAGTTATTTTAGTAAACTCTTAGTCTTAGAATAAAGTAAGCTTCACAAGTGGAAAACAGCTGACCACATGTCTTAGTCAACCAAATGGAAGAAATGGTGTACAGTACCATCTGATCACAATATTACTGTGTAGGCTATACCATGGGCATGTACTTACATAAAGATTAGCACTTAAATCATGCCCAACTAGCAATGGTGAGGGCTAATTCTTGGGCATGAACTTACACCAGGTAAAATAAAAAATTACAAATACAACAAGGGAGTGTACTCCTGTTTGTTACCTTGGAAGTCGTTGCCATCATCGTTATGGGGAGTGCCCACTATGTACTGTATGGGTTTACAAAAAGTGCGCCCGCTTCTTTGGTATTGATGATAAAGAAAAATTAAGGAAATCTACCAACGCCGCACTCTACAAATGTACTGTAATGTTGGAAACCAACCATGCACGGTGCAGCACTGGGTAATCCAACGGCAGCGGGCGTCCTCCAGTGGCTGTGTATGGTGTATACTTTGTTTACGCCCTCAATGAGCGTAGTAGGCTCTCTTGTTCTATAAATACACTTTGCTAAATTATTATTATTTAGATCTACTTAAAAGTACAATTGTCCATGTACAATAACAGATCCCCATTACGTACCCCACCATCCGAACAGAGTTCCTAATGATATGAAAATGATCGATATTTCTTGCTTTATACAAAGTTTATGTCAATTTATTGGTTTAAATGTTTTCTTTCTTAGCAGATGTATATATGATTTTATATTATTCCTGAAGACTTTTAATTTTAAGTGTTTTTTAGTAATGACATCATTGCTGCAAATTGAGTTTGTAAAATTGAGTTTGTAATTAGGAGGTTCGTAATTAGGAAATATCACTGTAGTTCATCAATGCGATATAGTGGTGACTAAGGTTCAATTATGTTCCTGTTATCTTTGGATTTATCATGTTGACAGATATAAGGCCTATAAAAAAATCAACCTAGTTTTCAACAAGTTGTTTATCTTTTGTAATGTTCTTTATGCCCAGCAGACAACATGTTCTAGTCAATGTGGTCCGGATGATTGGTGGCAGATGGGTTATGTTTTATACCATCCTGTGTGTCTCACAGGTCAGAGGTCAGTGAACATACCTCCAATTTAAAACTTGTCAATCAGTTGTTCTATCGGAAGCACCAAAGAAACCAGCATTTACTAGGAGTATTTACTCTAAAGTAGATTTATATAAACTGCTTTTGACTACTCAAAAGAATTACACGGCAATAAATAAAGCAAACTCTGACCTACCCATATGTCAGCAGATCAGGTACACCGTAATTAGACTTGTCATGGTGGATCTGAACACCTCCCTCATGTGTTGGATGAAGTGATGGGTAGCCGAGATCCTGAAACACAAATATACAGATTATAATTTAAATGGTTTGTACAGCCTAATACACATTGATAATGTTGTAATTGAAAAAGAAAAGTAAATACAGGCTCAATCAGGAGACTTTCAACATAAACATACATGTTTATGCACAATTTAAACAAATTACATCCCCTAAAAGTTGTAGGGATTTTGTTTAAGTCTTTAACAAAATTTTCCTTTCAAGTTCAAACATACTGCTAATAATGAATATACTGTACTCCACAATTTAAGATCATATACAGTACATATTTGACTTTCATTTAATGCCTATAGGATTTACTGTTTTAATTTTTTTTTAATCGCATTTTATCATGTTTTTTTATGTGCATATCTCTGTATTTCAACTCTGCAAATACCAAAAATAAAGAATCTAGAGTCATTTCTACATCTCAAACTCTATGAAAGTACTGTATCATGTGGAAAACGAATAAACAAGCCAACTATGTGCAGTGCAGCACTGGGTAATTCAATGGCAGCGGGCGTCCTTTAATAATAATAATAATGAAAACTTTTAAAGCGCCGGTATTCGTTTAAAGAAAACGCTCATGGCGCCCCTCCACAAGAACCTTAATGAGTGTACTAGGCTCTCTTGTTCTATACTCTTTAGTAAATTATTATTATTTAGATCTATTAAAAAGTACAATTGTCCATGTACAGTAACATCTACCAATTACGTTCACACTATTAAACTGTGACAAATACATGTGATATGCCCATATTTGGGTGTAATTAATATGATATCATCATGTATGTTTGTTGTGGTATGTTGCCGGTAGTCCACTCGAGCGGCACAAGTGGGGGTGCCCTTTGAACATATACCAACCCATGCAAAAAGTGGACGCGATAACTTGCACTTGGCATAGTCAATAAAAAGTGCTGTCACAGTGCCGTCGACAAGTTTATTATTCGTCCCCTAATATTTTCCTGTCAATTTATTAGACACATCATTTTGATGATATGATATGATTAGATACAATTTCAAAAAAGTATGTTTGTATTTATGTAAACTTGTTTTGGCACATGGGAAGGAACCTTAAAAAAGGTCTGGCAGTCAACATGTTAAACAAAAGATTAAGAGGTAAAATCAATTTTATCATCACAGCAAAAAATATGGTAGTTAATTTACATGGTAAACGAAAAAAGTACCAATTTTTTTAAAAGGGTAGTGTAGAATTGCTGTTGGCTGCAAGCCAAACAAGATCATAACTTTGGAAGTTAGCGGATGATTAAACAACGGTTGTAATAACTGATGACACCGTTCATTTATCTTCGCAAATTGTGTCACCAGAGTCTACATAAACAACATCAACTGAGAGTTATAGCAGGGGGAGTAAATTAGTCCCCAGTAGCATTGGTAAAACAAAGGGTTAAGAATTGTGAAGATATGGGAAGATACAAAACAGGTGTGTAGCAGTGAAGATTTACTGTGTTCATAGGTTTACGGTTAAAAAGTTGCTGCCAAAAGATCAGTTAATTAGATTACTGATTTCAGGCACTAAATTCACTAGTAATCGAGTACAGATGCATTTTGTACAATTGTCAAAAATTTCCGAGGGACTGGGAGAAGTTCATGGGGGATATATAATGTAGGAGTGGTTAACCAACATCACTAATTAAAATTTATGGTCGTGTTTGGATAATTTTTTTTAAATTATCTTGACTTTGGCAAGAAAACATAAGTGCTGTTAGTGGTTTTACCAGCTTTGCAGAAATGGGTTTAACATTTCACAAGTGAAAAATAACACACATAAAACCTACTACTTACTTGGTCTTGCTAAACACAATACCTTTGTTAAATGTTAGTTATTACATAGATTACAGTTGATTAACCAATATCACCAAGCAAACTTTATTGTTTTATTTTAATAAATTTTTAAAAATCATCTTGACTTCGGCAAGAAAACATAAGCCCTGTTAGTGGTTTTACCAGCTTTGCGGAAAACCATTCACAAGTGAAAAACAATACACATACTGTAAACCTACTTTTTACTTTGTCTTGCTAACACTTACAATGTCTTTTTTTAAAATGTTAGTGACTTCACAACCTGCCAACAGTGCTTTCTTGCCAAAAAGAAAACCATCTTGACTTTGGCAAGAAAACATAAGCCCTGTTAGTGGTTTTACCAGCTTTGCGGAAAACCATTCACAAGTGAAAAACAATACACATAAACCTACTTTTTACTTTGTCTTGCTAACACATACAAAGTCATTTTTTAAATGTTAGTTACGCATAGATTACAGTGGTTAAACATCTACAAGTAAAATTGATGGTTGTTTTGGATAAATTAAAAAAAAAAATTATCTTGATTTTGGCAAGAAAGCACTGTTGGCAGGTTGTGAAGTCACAGCTCTTGCTATGTTTCAGCTCTAGGTGCGAATATTTCATGGCTTTATAAATTAAATAAATATTGTGGCCTGATATACCAAGATATACACACACAAAAAAAGAGAAAAAATTGCTATAGCAATAGTGGTTTTACCAGTTTTGCACATATTGGTTTAACATTTTTCAAATGAAAAAGGATACACATACTGAAGCTACTTTATATTACTGCACGCTTGATCTTGCTAAAACATACAATGTCTTTGTTGGTTGACACAGATTCCAAAAGAAAAACACACATATTTTATGAACCTTAAAGGTCCTGAGAAATTCTAGAGCAACCCTCAGTAGTTTGAAGTAGCAGGATCCAGGGGCCAGATTTATCAAACTAGAAATCAGCTTAAAGTCCATTTTTTTTTTTGCTTAATTCAAATTTATCAATATTGCTTAGCTTAAAAAATGCTTATAATTAAAAAGTTGATTGCACGCATGCACCAATTTAGACGATTTTTAAGCCAAGATTTTGCTAAGATGGTTTGACAAATCAGCTTAATATTTATTTGCTTAGGAACATCTGAACCTTTTTTACTTAAGGCTGGAGTAATAAGCATGCAAAAGCAGGTCTAAGAGACCTTTGTGCTACTGTATCATAATTACGACATAATAATCCTTAGACGACATTTTTTTTTGTACCATGTTTTGCAAACATGCTGCCCTCCAATGTTGATAATTTAGAATAAAAATAAAAATTTTATTTTTTTGCCAATTAACCGCAAAAAACAGAAAATTTCAGAAAAAAATTAAAAAGTTTTTCTTTATTTTTATTATACCTGCCGCTGCCTTGACATCTCCAAAAATAAAATATGTATACTTCTTCATAATTATATAAATTTAAGGCATTCAACCATCCCATTACTTAATACTACCCTGTTACTTACATTCAACAATCACAATTTATTATATTTGATCCTCCACGGGATATTTTTCCCAAAACTATTTGCTACACAAGAAAAAAAAAATTTTTTTTTTCCGCCCGCCTCTGACAACCATTAAAAAATATAAGTTCGCGAAACAAGGAGGAAAAACATTCTTTCCTCAGGAGTGATGTTTTGCCCTACCTGACGTGTTATAGTATCGAATACTCAGTACGTTCCCAAATGCAAGTGAAAAAAAATTTGCAAGTGATTTTTGTGGGAATCGAAGCCACTGTCTCCAGATAACTAGTCTGGCGCCATAATAATCCTTAGGAAAAGAGTATTGTGGAGCAAGAAAACATAAGTGCTGTTAGTGGTTTTACCAGCTTTGCAGAAATGGGTTTAACATTTCACAAGTGAAAAATAACACACATAAAACCTACTACTTACTTGGTCTTGCTAAACACAATACCTTTGTTAAATGTTAGTTATTACATAGATTACAGTTGATTAACCAATATCACCAAGCAAACTTTATTGTTTTATTTTAATAAATTTTTAAAAATCATCTTGACTTCGGCAAGAAAACATAAGCCCTGTTAGTGGTTTTACCAGCTTTGCGGAAAACCATTCACAAGTGAAAAACAATACACATAAACCTACTTTTTACTTTGTCTTGCTAACACATACAAAGTCATTTTTTAAATGTTAGTTACGCATAGATTACAGTGGTTAAACATCTACAAGTAAAATTGATGGTTTTGGATAAATTTAAAAAAAAATTATCTTGATTTTGGCAAGAAAGCACTGTTGGCAGGTTGTGAAGTCACAGCTCTTGCTATGTTTCAGCCCTAGGTGCGAATATTTCATGGCTTATAAATTAAATAAATATTGTGGCCTGATATACCAAGATATACACACACAAAAAAAGAGAAAAAATTGCTATAGCAATAGTTGTTTTACCAGTTTTGCACATATTGGTTTAACATTTTTCAAATGGAAAAGGATACACATACTGAAGCTACTTTATATTACTGTACGCTTGATCTTGCTAAAACCTACAATGTCTTTGTTGGTTGACACAGATTCCAAAAGAAAAACACACATATTTTATGAACCTTAAAGGTAATTCTAGAGCAACCCTCAGTAGTTTGCAGTTATAAAGGATCCAGGGGCCAGATTTATCAAACTAGAAATCAGCTTAAATTCGTCTTAAGTCCATTTTTTTTTTTTGCTTAATTCAAATCTATCAATATTGCTTAGCTTAAAAAATGCTTATAATTAAAAAGTTTATTGCACGCATGCACCAACTTAGACGATTTTTAAGCCAAGATTTTGCTAAGATGGTTTGACAAAACAGCCTAAAGTCAGGCTCCGGAGAAAAAAAAAAGTTGTTTTTCGTCAAACAACTTTTTTCTGTCTCAGAAAAATCAGTTCTACAACATATCAAAAAATTTTTTTTCCTCCGGAGCCTGACTTTAAGATATTTGCTTAGGAACATCTGAACTTTTTTTACTTAAGACTGGAGTAATAAGCATGCAAAAGCAGGTCTAAGAGACCTTTGTGTTACTGTATCATAATCACGACATAATATTCCTTAAGCCCTGTCCAGACTATCAAATTTTATTTGACAAAAACATGTGACATGCCTAAATATGGTCATAATGACATCACATCATGAACATATATAGGCACATCATGACTATATATGGGCATACAACAGTTTTTTTGTCAAAG